AAAAATAAAAATAAGAAAAACAAGAAGACCTTGGCATCTGATAGAAAGTGGATAAACTGCTGAGTGAAGCAAGTCAGGATATGAAAGAGAGACATTGTATGTCTTCACTTCACATATACCAACTGTGTGCACTCTATGGTGGAAACTGAGAGACTGGAGGACAAAGAAGCTCTGAAAATGGTTATAGACTCTGAAGACTATATGGAAAGAGGGTGAGATTAAGGGGAGGTAATTAATCTTAAGCACTTCAAGGAGTTATAATTACAGCCACACTAAAGTATTCAAGAAGAAACAAGCAAATATTTAAAGAAACAACATAAAGCACATCAATAAATCCTTTAATTAAATTACCTTAATAGTATTAGTTACCAAATGTAAATGTGCTTTTTGTTTTGCTTTGTTTTGTTTTCTAGTTGTTTTTTTTCTTGTTGTTCTCTTTTTTATAGGCGCAACCCAACCCAAAAAAGTTATTTTAGTAACAAAATTAAAAAAATTATTTGGAATGATATACATCCTTTGAGAATACGATATTCTTAGGAGTTGCATATTGTCCTATAAGATAATGAAAATTTTAAAGTATTTCTGATACAAGGCTAGAAACAACTTTGGGAAAGTAGAAAAATGGCAAAGAAAAAATTTGCTCATATATGAGAAGGTAGAAAGCTGAATACAGTGTTACTTCAATTGTGTAGACAAGTACTTTCACAATTTGATTTGAAAATTATAAGTCCATGACTTTAAACTCTGAAATTATGTGTTACTTAAGCTCAAGGTCATTGACCCTTTCACAGTTTCCCTTCCAAAGACTGTTTTCAGAGCCCTCTTTATGTCTTTATTCCTCAGACTGTAGATGAAGGGGTTCAGCATGGGGGTGACCACAGTGTACATCACCGAGGCTTTTGCACTTGTGTGTGAGCTGTGGGTAGCACCAGCACTAAGGTACACACCCATGCTTGTACAATAAAATAAGAAGACAACCAAGAGGTGAGAGACACAGGTGGAAAATGCTTTGTACTTCCCTTGAACTGATGAGATTTCACAAATAGACAAAACTATATTACAGTAAGAGTAAAGGATCCCAGTGAGGGGACCACCCTCCAGCAGCACAGCTGCAAAATAGATCACCATGTCATTAAGAAAGGTGTCAGAGCAGGCCAGGTGAACCACCTGATTAAGTTCACAGAAAAAATGGGGAATTTCCACTAGCACACAGAAGGACAGCCGCAATGCCATTAAGCTATGTAACAGGGAATACACGACACTCATGATCCAAGATGTCAAAACCAGCTTTCCACAGAGCCAGGGGTTCATGATGGCCGTGTAGTGCAGGGGGTGACAGATGGCCACGTACCGGTCATAGGCCAACACAGTCAAGAGGAAGTCATCCAACACTGCAAAGACTAGGAAAAAGAATATCTGAGAGATGCAGCCTGCATAGGTGATGACCTTGCTCTGTGTCTGGATGTTCACCAGCATCTTTGGGACAGTGGTGGAGGTGAAACAGATGTCAGAAAAGGACAGGTTGGAGAGGAAGAAGTACATGGGGGTGTGCAGATGGGAGTCTGAGATGGTGGCCAGGATGATGAGCAGGTTTCCACACACAGTGATCAGATACATGGAGAGGAAGAGCCCAAATAGGAGGGGCTGCAATTCTGGTTTCTCTGAAAGTCCCAGAAGATGAAATTCTGAAATTTGTGTATTGTTTCCTATTTCCATGGTGATTCCCTGAAAAGAGGAAAATAAGACAGCTAATTTCCCACAAACCGGTATTACTCACATAGGTCAAATACCATAGTATTTTTTCGTCACAACGTTATTGTCTATATTTTCGTATGGATCTAATCCCCTTTAGGCTTTCACAGTGCCATCTCTGCTTATCTCACTTCTTTGTTCCCATAGATCATGTATTCTACAGGATTAACTTATTTATTGACAAATGCTAATTATACACACTTATGGAGTATAATGTGATTTCTCAATAAGTTTTTGTTTTTTAGTTTTGTCATAGGGCACATACACTCACCAGAGAGAGAGAGAAGGAAAGTGAGAAATATTGGGCATGCATACACTCATGTCTGGCATGTTTTCCAAGCCACCAGATCTTGAACTTGACCTGCACAGTCCGCCATGTGCTAGCCAGTCACCTTAGCCACCACACCACCAGCTTTCCTCATAGCTGCAACTTTATGTCCATTGAAAAACAACCCTCTTTTTACCCCCTTCATCAATCACCTGGCAACCACCATTCTGTTGTCTCCTTCTACGATTCTGGCTACTTCAGATATCTTAGTTAGTGGTCTTCAAAGGTCCTCCATGAATCACAATAGATCTCTCCTAATTTTTATCTGTTGTTAACTTCTCTAACATCTGAATTATAAGTGTCACAATTTGTGGGTCGAGCAGTTGTAGAGTCACAATTTGGAATATAAGAGCTCAAGTAAGCATGTTCTGAGGTCTGCTCATGTTCTACAAAACACAAACACACACATACACAAACACACCAGCGCACACAACCAACTATGACCTCCTGGAGTCCTCAGCCACGTTGATTAGGGAAAAAATTAATATGAGACCATTCTGCAATACCAAATCATCTTTCCCCTAAAATATGTAGAAAAGGTGCCCAAACTCCATTTACTAAGCTTTCCATAGACAAATAAATGTGGACCTTATTTTAACACAACTGTTTTATCATTTGTTTTTAAAGAAACAAAAATATCTGCTCATTAAAATGAAGGGGAACAGCAGATGGCATATTGGTTATGTCGAGCAGATAGCATATTGGTTATGTCGATGGACTATGACATGGATAACTATGTTTCAAGTCCTGGACTTGGTGGCTTGAAACTCACACTGGGTACGTGTTCATATATGCCAAGATCCCAAGAGGATAA